CTAAGTCTCTTTGAATGCAAGAAAAATCGATAGCCAAATTTTTTATCTCATCTTGGTTTCATATCTCCGTTTTCAATATCTTATTTTAAGACGTAATACAATTTTTTATATGCTCAGCAGTGTCAGTACAATGTTTCAATTAATTACGAATTCGGTACTCCAAGCTTATTAGCGCTGAAAAATGTAAACACAAAAAAATAACAACATATTTTCAATTAGTCATGAAATGATTATCTGTAGCGATAGTAGTGACAAATGCCTGATGTGGAAAAATGATGTATAACAACTTATGATATTCAAATAGAAGGTAATAAATGTTATTAATAATATATATGTCTAAGTTTCAAACTATATGAAGTTTTATTATAATGATTGTGAATTAACTTATCTGCCACCAAAAACGAATTGTATTCAATACGATTCAAACTTATATTTATTTTCTTATACATAAACGATGTAGTTCGTGATTTGTTTTTCATTTTTTGGTCTGCTGCATTGACTTCCTAAGTAATAAAACATTGGAATAGGTTAAAAATAAAAGCCATTAAATAGGTTTATAGATTAATCTGAAGTAAATCTGTGAGAAAATCTCTCTATTTAGCTCTATTTAAAGGTGCATTTTCGAGTACTATTTTTCTCGTCTGGCTGGATGTTTTCAATATTTTCGCTAATCTCGAGCACTGTTACTTTAATCTAAGCTTTCAAATAAAAAACACGATCCAACTACAATCACTTAAACTTACCTTCGCAAACTGGTGGCGAATCTGACCAAGTCTCGTTCCTCAGACATGTTACGGTTGAGGGCCCAACTAATCTATAACCCGTAAGGCAGGAAAAGTTTACATTTGTACCGAAGGTATGGTTACGTGTGCTAATAATGAGGTGAGGTGATTCCGTTACGATAAGTGGACACTGAATAACTGAAATAAAGACACACTACATGTTATATTAACACTCATCATAAGCCTAAATCTAATCATATGTCAGAATTTCATATTTAATTTTATATGGCTGTTTTAGTGTTATTTATCAAACGGATTAAAATGATCTATATATACTTGTTCACTAAGTAAATTAATTTATCTAAACCTCAAAATAAATCTGAAAATAATAGTTCGAGGCAATAACTATATAGAATATCATGATTTCAATATCATTTACTTGTTCAATTTCCATTCGTAAAGATGATGTCCATGAGGTAACGTCACGAGCAATCTTAATGAACATTTGATTGTTTGTTTGTTTTTAGCGAAAAGCTACACAATTTCCTTAATGCACTCTTTTCATCACTGGAAATAGAACCTAGATAAAATATTGAATCTTAAAAAACGGTAAAAGGCTAAACTGTTGCAGACGTGAACGTAAAAGAAAAAAAAACGACACTTTTGGAACAACATATTAGCACAAAGCATATGTTATTCATGAGAGAATAGAGATATCGCTTTACATAAAAACCATGAGATCGGCATACTGTACAGGAATTGCCAAGTCCAGTGTTTCAATGCAAAACAAAGAAATTTATAATGAAAATTTCTCCCCAAGCGTTTGAAGAATAGCTTCTCATAAACTTTGTCCCCCCCCCCCAAAAAAAACTTATCAAACATTATAATTTGGAAAAATAGAAAGGTCTTTCTTAAAACAGCAAACAGAAAAGTTAAAAACAGAAATCACGATGTTTTTTACTTGCCTTAAAACTTCACGTCAACGTGAATAATACAACTATTTAAAACAACCAATTTTTTAACATCCAAAAAACTTAAACATGAAGACCAAACAACAAGTTTGAAAAGTAATTCAAAATTAGTTTATGGTATAGGGCTTCTCAACCCCATAAAAATAATTTGAATTTGTTTTCTTACAATTGCAAATACGTAGAAAGAATAATAACTCTGGACTATGGCCTCTCATTTTCTTTTAAAGATGCAAATCTTAACATAGACTAAATGTCTGATTTGTTAAATCAACCAATGATATTAGTGATGTTTTAAACATCATACCAGGATGTATAACCGGTGCATTATTTCATAACAATAATACTGCCATGGATGTTTTTCATTGCTTCATTGAAACTTTAAGAATTTCAAAGTGAACAGAGATATCATAGTTATCAAATTGGACAAAACAAATGAAACTGTCGTATTGTATAAAACAACCTATTTATCATAATTAAGAGAAAAAGCTGAAAGATCTTCTACAAGATCAGAATTTTTATGAAAAATTTATCTTCAATCCTTTCACTACGAAAGTTGTTGGACTTTAAATGTAACAACTGTTTACTAAAATACATGTATGGTCTATCCAAGGCACATAGGAATAGCTGTCCTCTTTGACCTATCATTTCCAAAGTGAGATCTATAACATAATCACTATCCAAATAGTCAACAGAACACTTAGCTCCCGTTATGTATAAGAACGAATGTGGATTTTGCCAATAAAGTAGAAATCTTGACATCAGTGGTGGTAAAATGGCCAGTTTCAACGTTAACGCACTACTTACTAAGTTAAATAACAATAATGTATCTCAAACAAAAATTATCTGAATTAAACCTAGCACTTCCAGTTCCGGTTAATATTTTCATCTCCTTCATTGAAAACAATGTTCTCTACCCTAGGACAACATTTCAAACATCAATACAAGTGACAACGGGGAATACATTATCTCCAGTTCTATGTAAGATCTTTATGGAATATTTTGAAAATGTATTACTTTTATTAGCAGACATGAAGACTTCATGGTTGCTTTACGAAGACGAAGTTGCTTTACGAAATTATCTGTTTGGCAAAATCACAGAAATAATTTCATAATCTTTTTTTAAAAAAAACAACAACATAACCTTCTTCACGTTTCATCAAGCATCATCAAGTTTAGAGTTGAATGGAAAATTAGCAACTCTTTCTCTCTTTTATGGATATTCTTATAACTAAAATTGATACAGGACTTGATCTATGGATATCCTTATAACTAAAATTGATACAGGACTTGATCTATGGATATCCTTATAACTAAAATTGATACAGGACTTGATCTATGGATATCCTTATAACTAGAACTGATACAGGACTTCTTCTATGGATATCCTTATAACTAGAAACTGATACAGGACTTGATCTATGGATATCCTTATACTAAAACTGATACAGGACTTCGTCTATGGATATCCTTATAACTAAAACTGATACAGGACTTGATCTATGGATATCCTTATAACTAAAACTGATACAGGACTTGATCTATGGATATCCTTATAACTAGAACTGATACAGGATTTATCGCATCTACCGAAAACCGAAAATTCCCCTCAATTGCGTACATGTTTTTTATGCCACCACAAAAACGTTATTGTAACCTCTATGTTTCTAAGAGCATACAGAATTAAGTCAAGAAATTCAAAAGATCACTTACAGTTTGAAGGATTTACAATATCCCATTTAATTCATCGAATATGCTCAACTAAGAGCGAGAAAATTTTTTTAAAATAATAAATAAGAACAGCTTAAAATCCAAAGAAACTACTATGCTTGAATTACATCGCAAAAGTTTGAGCCCGTAGAGGGAATCCTGACGCAAAATGATTTTCTTGTCACTTACAAGTACCTTAATACTGTTAAAGATAGCAAAATCGTTTAAGAAGATAAACTACAGAGTATATATATATAGTTTCATGTGAATCGTGTGAAAGCGTTTAACTCAGTGAAACAGGAATGAATTTAAACACGAGAATAACAGAACACATAAAGGACGTTGAAAACGGAAATACAAATTATGTAACATTTCTGCATGCAAGAAATGTTGACCACTGTAAATCAGCAAAAAGAGCGAAAATTACATAAAACTAAGAACTGTTAAAAGCTGTATTACTAAAAGTGTACCAAACTGTTTTATAAAGTACGTCAACGGAATTTCACAACCAGGTACACCTTTGCTTGCTTTGTAAATCTGTGTAGAACTGAATAGAACAAATCAAATTGTCTAAATTAATTTCCTAACCGTTTTACTAATATTTTATTTCAAAAGTAAGTTTTTTTTTTTTACTTTCATTTAATAAATATACACGATATTGTGATTTATCTTAGACTGTTATATGTGGCTCAATATACAGATGGACAAAAATAGACATATAAATATACAAATAATTACAGGCAGACAGACTTCAGGATAAATAATCACGTAAATAAAGTCAAGTGTATCAACTACGTGAAGAAAGTATTAATGAATAGACAAGTTATGTCAAGGTATACCTTCACAAACGGGCACTGCATGAGACCATCTCCCGACGGCTGTACAGGTTATCTCTTCTTCTCCTCGAAGCACATATCCCTCCACACAAGCGAATCTAGCTTTACTGTGAAGCCGAGTCCCTTCAATTGCCATTACACGCTTGTGGTCTATGGATGATATCGGTGGACAACTGAGATCTGAGTAAATGAAGATTGGTAGATAAATTTGATGCTTCAAGACCAAACACTTCTTTTTAAAGACTCTTTAACTGCTATGCGTTATGTGGCTGTACTAGAAATAAGCCAACGTTTTTATTTTCCGGTGTTTCTTGACCCGTGCTTATAAATCAAAGTAATTGTTTTAAGCGTAATATTAAATACGCGGAGTTTTAAAGTTTTGTTTGTTTACTTTGTTGCTAAGCACAAAGCAACACAATGTGTTATCTATGCTTTGCTCATTATGGGTATCGAAACCAGGTTTCTAGCGTTAAAAGACTCCAGGGTTACCGCCGAGCCGCTGGGAGGCGCAATTTTAAAGATTCTGGTGTTTCTTACTTTTTGTATTTTAGAATCTAAACTATGAACTAACATGAACAACCTTGTCTGCAGTAACATTTCGTAGTATTAATCAGTACTACTTTAAATATAAAATATAATTATACATGGTAAATAAGTTACATTTCTCAGAACAAAGCTTTAAAATAGGTCTGATATTTGTAATAACAGTAACAATGGATTTGTTTCCCTAATGATTTTAGTTGACTACAATTATTTTGTTTGATCACAAACCAATCCGCGGGAAGCCTTTCGCTAAATACTACAACTCGTCAGCTACGTATGTAGTACTAAAATTTTAAAATGTTGAAGATATTATCCCAATAAAAAATCATGCAATATTCAGATGTGTTTGTACATATGTATATAAAGTGTTCGCTTTTAAGGTGTTTTTATTTCTTTGTTATATTTTTATATTTTCTGTTTCCATCTGCTTTTCTCCTGATTTAATATTCGTATTTTTGTACAGTGTATAACGGAATTGAACTTTTTGATCATTCTGTTTGTTTTGGTTTTCGTACACTTGTAGAATAAAATCTTGTCCGGAACATCTTGCTGGTAAATCGAGATTTATAATTTGTAGCGACATTTCACCGTGTCGTCTATCATTTTCTACTTTTTTACAGCTTTTTTTTACGTTTTATCACCACTTGTTTTCTTCTGTTTGTATTTTAGTAACAATGTTTCTCAGGTAGTAACTTGTGGGAGACAAAAGGAAAGCGTGAAACAATATTTCTATGCACGTCAGATAAATTAAGAAGAATGTAATATACACATTTGCAGTGAAGCATGACTTTACTCACGAATATTTAATTGGGTTATATTTTCACGTTACCCTATACCACAGAAACTACTCTGTTACCCGTTTTCAACACCCAGCTCTTGATGTCCTTCCACATAATGAATTAATAGACGGTCACTGGCCGCAGAAGTGTCTTACGGGCCGAAGTTAAAAGGTCACGGATCAAAGTAGGAACTTTGTATAAATAAATAAAAAGGCTCTTCATATCAGCCTTATGGTGATTGTTGGAGTAGAAACTTCAGCTGAGTTTATGAAGTATTCCAATAGTGGTGGCCATTTGTTTTTCATTACATTCCACTATACAGAGTGCTAGCGCACTCTCTGAGTTATATAAGACGTTTGTGTGCCCTTCCCCCACACTGTGTGTATATTGTTCTACAGAAAAGTTAACTTTTTTGTATTTGGTGTAAGAACGTGGCGCCATCTATTAATGTAGTTAACGTTAACTTACGTCAAAGATAACAAATGCTCAATAACAGCAATAACTGGAGGTAGAGGGAGTTGTGAACACTCATTAACATGCTCCTTGTTTCAAACTATCAATCCCACAAAATTTGGTTGAGATTGGCCCAGCGACCTAGAAATAGTTAGATAATTGACAAACAAACAGACATACATAAACTTTCCTGGACGCATAAATATTATTTTGACTATAATATTTACCAATAGCTTCTTACTTAAACCATATTAAATCACTCTTTTTTTCCTTGATTTATTAAATCTTATAGTATGAAGTAAATAGATAAAGGAAAGTAGAAAAAACATTGCCATAAAATTATTATAAACTGTTTGTTTGTTTTGAATTTCGCGCAAAGCTACACGAGGGCTATCTGCGCTAGCCGTCCCTAATTTAGCAGTGTAAGACTAGAGGGAAGGCAGCTAGTTATCACCACCCACCGCCAACTCTTGGGCCACTCTTTTACCAACGAATAGTGGGATTGACCGTCACATTATAACGCCCCCAAGGCTGAAAGGGCGAGTATGTTTGGTGGGACGGGGATGCGAACTCGCGACCTGCAGATTGCGAGTCGAGCGTCCTAACCACCTGGCCATGCCGGGCCCTATTATAAACTAAAAAAATGGTATGAGGGAAAAAGTTGGTTGGTTGTTTGGCGTTTGTTGGCGCAAAGAAATTATCTGCGCCAAACAACCGGTAAAATGCCGTAAGTAAAATACAATAACATGTAAAAAGAAAATAGATTAAAAGCGAAACAATGCACAAAAAATAGGTAAAAACTAAATAGAAGTAAAAAAGCCAATGACCTACACAAGGCTAAAAACACAATCAAGTTGGACAGTGTCACCATTATCAATGACACTCTCCATCCTCAGGGGCAAACTAGGTAAAAACTAAATAGAAGTAAAAAGCCAATGACCTACACAAGGCTAAAAACACAATCAAGTTGGACAGTGTCAACATCATCAATGACACTCTCCATTCTCAGGGGCAAACCCTTAGAGAATACATGTTTAAAATGATGGCGCCGCTGATGTTCGTAACGACGGCATGAAAGTAAAGTGTAGGAAAGTGTCACAAAGGCCACACATTGGCCGATTAGTACATATAAAAGAAAAAAATAGGTTAAAAACTGTGACCAATACATAGCCTAGCTAAGATAACTTCCTCCCATCAATCCTTAAATAAACTAGATGACCAAAAACAACAGTAGGTTTGATCTAGAAAAGCTTGTTGTGAAGCCGAGCCTTCTCATTCTCAATAATACCGGCAGGAGGAGGTATATAGAGCCCACAGAGTCATCTGATTTCGAACCATCCATAAAAACTGGAAGATAAGAATGGTTCAAAAGATGTTGGTTGGCAAAGAGAAAATGGTACTTCCAATCGTGGTATCTGCCTTCCTCAGATGACTCAAGAAAGGTCAGAGGTAGGTGGGGATGAAAATGAGCCATGGTGAGATGGGCTGATCATTGGATTCAGCAACGACATAAAATGAGAGACCCAATTCAGCCAGCTGCACCTGGATTCGAAGGCCAATAGGAGGAATGACAGTTCATCTTTTCCAAAAGAGCACATTCCACCAAGGAAGGAAGACACAACTCCAGGTGGGATGCTGTGGTAAGGATAAAAGCTTGGTAACATATTGCAAAGAAAGTTGCAAATGGTGGAAGAGATGAGGAGGTTCATTGAACTTGTTGTAGAGACTCTGGACTGGCAAAGTGCAGAAAACCCCATGCAGAAGCGCCAGTTAATGTAAAGGGACCAAAATCTTCAGACAGAGTGCCTGGCAGAACCATACACCAGAGACACATAGTACAACCTGGAACTTATGAGGGCAAATTGATCTTCAACATAAAACGTCTATCCACTCCCCAAGGGATGGATGAGAGGACATAGGGGATGTTCAGTGCTTTTGTACAATTGACACAAAGCTGCTTAATGTGAGAAATGAAAGTAAGCTTATGGTCAAAGATAAGCCCAAGAACTCCACCTCAGGAACCACAAGAAGAACAACACCACCGAGATGGAGCTCAGGATCAGTGTGTAAACTTCGTCGGTGGCTAAAATTAGTGCAAACAATTTTAGAGGAAGAGAAGGTGAAACCGTATGATGTGGTCCACTTCAACAAGTCTGTGAGGGCAGTCTGAAGCTGCTGTTCAATAAACTTTATATTCGATGACAGACGATAAATATGGAAGCCATCAACATAGAAGCCACTGGACTCAGTAGGAGGAAGTTGTTCAGTGACAGCATTGATCTTGACTACTGAAAAGGGTGACACTCAAGACACAACCTTGAGGGACTCCAAGTTCCTGTGTGAAAGAATGGGAAAGGGTCAAACCCAGATGAACATGGAATCGCCTGTCAAGTAAAAGTTACGAATAAAAATGGGTAACTGGTCATGCAACCCCGATGAATGTAGGTCCCACAAAATGTCAGACCTCCATGTCGTGTTGTAAGCCTTCTGAAGATTAAAGAAGACAGAAACAAGATGCTCTCTCTCTTGAGGAAGTCTATCCTGATCGAGGTTTTAAGACGAATCAGGTGGTCCACAGTGGACTTCAAGGAACCAAACAAGACGTGCATTAACCATCCTCTCCAAAATCTTACAGAGACAGCTAGTCAAAGCAGTTGGATGCTAAATAGAAGGAATCTTGGGATTCCTTCCAGGCTTTGGAAAAGAGAGAACAATAGCCCTGTGCCAAGAATCTGGAAAAACATTCTCTTCCAGGTCCAATTTAAAACAACCAGGAGAAGAACAAGAGATGCAGGAGAGAGATGGCACAGTATCTCATGGTGAACATCATCATGTCCGACTGATATACTGCCAGACCTGATGAAGAGCAAGCTTAAGCTCCGCCAGTGTAAATGGGCAGTTATAATCATAGATACAATCAGCCCAAAAGGAAATGGGCATCTCTCTACCAGAGACTTAATGGCCAAGAAGGCAGAGGAAGAAACGGGAGTGCTGGAAAGATAAGAAAAGCTCTCCCTGAGAGTATTGACAATGCTCTTTACATCAGCAGCTTCCTGGCCACTGGAGAGTAAGATAGGAAGAAGATAGGAAGCATACTTCCCACTGACCTTCCGAATCTTGTCCCAGACGACTTTGGAACTGGTAATAGAAGAAATGCTGGTGGTGAACTTAATCCAAGATTCCCTCTGGCTTTGATGGCTGACCTGCCAAGCATGTTCGAAAGAGTGGGATGCCCGTGAAAGGTATCCCAGGCCCGTTTATGAGCCTTCATGCCTGCTGGCAGGCAGGAGGCCATTATGGACGAGGTTTGGGGGATAAAACGAGCAGCTGCTTGAATTATACAATCATTTACTGTCTCCATGCAGTCATTACTAGATGGATATAGTGGTGAAGAAGAGCAAGTCAGCCTGCTCCAACTTCCACTGTGGCACTCGGGTCGGGTGGCATCAACCACAGCCAATCTCACTCAAAATGAGTGTGTCACTATCAACCCTCCAAGAAAATAGAGAGACAAATTAAAGGGAACAAATAGATAGATCAGTAGCAGTAAAAAGAATGACTAGGTGCATGAAAATAGGTAAAAGAACTAGTAAAAAAGAGAGAAAAGCTATGAAGAAAGTCTCCAGTGACTGAGAACGTGATCAAATAATAGTTTTGCACCACGGGGCCAAAGGAGATGGACCTGAGCAGTCACTGGAAGCGATGGTAAACATAGACTTGTCAACTCTTGCATCCACAGACGGCAAAATACTTTTTAGATGGTGTAAGAAAGACTCTGATGGAAGCACGGAAAGATCTGTCTGTACTCTACTGTAGCAGTGGAATGGAATGCAGCAGCATGTGTCCGAGATGGAACAGAGAAAAACTTCCGAGCCCCACGATAAGAAATGTTGTTTATAGTGCATAAACGTTGTACCTCTTTCTCCTCATCCCACACATCAAAGAACCACGACAAGATGCCTTATAATGCCCACACTGCTGACACTGGAAACACCTGAGAGGGTTAGGAATATAAGGCTGTACCTTAAAATTCAGATAACCTGCCTTGACAGTGATAGGTGGACGTGGCGATGCAAACGTCAATACAATAACATTAGTAGACAATGTCCACAAAACCCTTTTAGAACTTCATGGTGGGTGGGGTCAGTGGACACTGAAGTTTCTCTATTTTGAATGGATCCTGCACCCGGTGTCCCCCCCCCAAAAAACTCTTTGATAGGTTTCTTTGTTTGTTTGTTTTTTAAATTTCGCGCAAAGCTACACGAGGGCTATCTGCGCTAGCCGTCCCTAATTTAGCAGTGTAAGACTAGAGGGAAGGCAGTTAGTCATCACCACCCACCGCAAACTCTTGGGCTACTCTTTTACCAACGAATAGTGGGATTGACCGTCACATTATAACGCCCCCACGGCTGAAAGGGCGAGCATGTTTGGTGTGACTGGGATTCGAACCGCGACCCTCAGATTGCGAGTCGAGTGCCGTAACCACCTGGCTATGCCGGGCCATCCTTGATAGGAAAGAGACCACATTTAGAATACTTTGAACAGCAGGCACCATCCCAATTTGCACGTGTACCTCGTTTTTTCCTCCTGCTATCTTTATCTGACAAACTTTTAGGACAAATGTCTCCTTTTTTTACTCAGAGGGGATTAAAGGAGGTTGCTGGCTCTCCGAAGGCAGTTAATAAGCTATGTTCTGTGGACATCTTGGTGAAAACATCTACACCAAAACACAGCAAACTCCTCCTGAAATCAAAGGCTATTGGGATATACTTATTGAGGTTACTCCCCATGCTATTTTGAATTTCTCACGAGGAGTTATCGTTGAGAAGGATTTAAGAACCATCTCTGAGTCGGAGATCCTCGCTGGTTTCTCATTTCAAGGAGATTACGCTGTGCAACGTATCTACAATCGTAAATACAGAGTTATGCTAATCAAACACCAGTATTAAACACAATGTCCACAACAACCATTGAGCACGTCCAACACTGGTACTTAGTTCACCATAGCCCAACAGGACCAGCTAATTGACCTCGCGAGAGCAACCCCAAGGCCACCCGTCTGCAGGAATTCAAGGCCAAAGTGATGTGTTAACGTGCCATCGATTTAAACTGACCCATCAATGACACCTTCAATGAGCAGAATCCTCTCCTCCCTTTCACGGGATGCCACGCACGGCAAACACGTGGGTGGATGTTTGAATCCCTGAGTAGGTAAAATGAAGATACAGAACCTTCCCTGAGAGGTCCTCTCACCATATACAGGAATTCACCTCGAGAGGAGGGAAAGAAAATGAGCTTTATTGTTTCTTCCTAAGAAACTAGTCAAATGACATTTTATGCTGTTGCGTGTGATAAACGTAAGTTTTACTTTTAAACGAGTGACAGATAGATTTCCATTTATTTAAAAACGTTAAACGATTTTTTTTAGGTGGGGTTAGAAAAAGATCAGCAAAAATTGGTTTAAAGTCCATTTATATCAATTATGACATGGTGATAATGTTTCAAACTTGTTCGAAAATACATGAAAAAACTACCTTTTAAAGGAACATATGAATTGGGTTGGTAAAATCCATACCAGCTCAGTTCAGTTGTTAGGCTATATAAGAATTATGTGGAAATGAAAGTGTAATATTATACTACAATAGGTGTACATTTATAGATAACTCCATACATCATCCACTTGTTTAACGTAATCAATACTATGTACGTTTTTTCCAATGAAGTTGATTTGAACCTATGATTATCGTTATTAGCTTAAAAACGTATATTATTTAGATTATGTGAATATATCTATACGTTTTTTCTTTAATGTATAAAGTTTGTTTCTTTGTTTTTTGTTGTTAAGCGCGAAGCTAGATAATGGGCTATCAGTGATGTGCCAACCATTGGTATCGAACCCTGGTTTTTTGCGTTAAAAGCCTCAAGACTTACCGCTGAGCTATTGGGGTTCAAAATGTATAAAGACATTTATATTATGTTTTTCTGCAACAACATGGATTCTGTTTAGTTCCTCTAAACATACTTAAGAATTACGTATCCATTGATTATTAAACATATAAGCCCCCCTGTGGCTCAGCGGTAAGTCTAAGTAATGGCTTATGACGCTCAAAATCGTGTTTCCATACTCGTAAAGGGCAGGATACAAATAGCTCATTGTTTAGCTTTGTGCTTATCAACAAACAAGCAAACTGCATTTATATATGTATGTTTATAAGGCAAAGCTTCCTCTAATATATTCGTAATGTAATAAAAAATGTTTTATGGGAGAGGCACAGATTAATCAAATCTGATAGAGGTCGCCTTAGTATATTTTTTCATTGTTTTTATTTCAACAAGCCCATCATTATCGTAACAGCTCAAGTGGAGGTGGAACGTTTCTTTTCAGTAGCGGTTAGCCTATCGGGTTACACATCAATAGATCCAAGGTTCGAGCCATGATATGCCGTTGATCACGATTCGACTTTTAGCTGTTGATGCGATATACTCTGACAGTCAATCTCACTGTTCTGTTAAAAGTTGCCGCATAGATTGCGCGTGATGCTGACTGGTTCTCTTGCCTCTTATTCTTAGACAATGTATAGCATAAAGTTTAGGTTTAGATATTCTTACAAGGTAAGAATGACATATAACCCATAAATAACTTAACCTTATTATCTTACCCTTAACAATAATTTCGATGGAGTTATCTTGTCCGCGAGGTGTCTTGCATGTTATAGTCCCCGTATCTATAGCAGAAGCGTAATAGATTGACAAGCGATATTTCCAACTTCGTTCTTCTTCAGAGATTGCCCAGCCACAAGGGTACTGTCTGGAAATAATTAAAAACATTTCAAAATGAGTCTAATAATTTATAAAAATGTTTGAAGGGCCTGGAGAATGCACATGTTGGTGTAACTTAAAGAGAGACGTAAAAGGTCTACTTTTGTGATGAGGTACGTGACAGTAAAGGATATTAAACAAGCAGAACGAAAGTCGTGGAATAAACAGTCAGAAAATACGCGTGTAGATAGAGTAGAGAGAAGAAAACTTGATAAAAATGTAAGACTTATGTAAGCAGCTCGAATCAGGATAGATTTGCACAACAAAAGCTAGCGGCAGTGTATGAACTAAAGATGTAGGCTATCTCAAGTGTTAAAAAACATCAACTTTCGCAATATAAGTAGAATAATTTAACAAGTAGTTACTTTTGGAGTTATCAACTGAAGTATAATACATTGACTTTCTATTTTATGTGAGTGCTTATAAAGGAATTATTGCTCGTAGCAATTGGTTGGATGCATAACTCTCTTACATTGGTTGAAAATTGAAGTTGGAGTATCTTTTGTTTTTTGTAATATATGATCTCTAATTTTCATCGCGAACTTTGAAATACAATTGTATTTTAATTTGTCAAACGGCTTAGAAAATTATAGGTTGTAGATTATCTATTATCACTAAATTATAAATACTTCCGATGATAATGTGGGAGATAAAAAGAGAATAAATACTGAAAGTTGTAGACAATATTAGGGTAAGGTGCAAAGAAAGAAAATGTATAATTAGTTACGAAGGGAGGATCATGTGTTGTCATACAGGAATACATGTATAAATATAGAAAAAGGAGGATCATTTGTTGTTGTATACGAATACACGTATAAATATAGAAAAATGGGGATCATTCACAAAACACATAGTAAAAAGAGGGAGAGAGAGAGCGTAAGAGAAATAAAAAAGGAAAGAAAATACATAAACAGATAAGAAAGATAGAAGGCTGCATAAACAAAAAACAGAAAATACAATCACAGACTGAAACAGAGAAAATATAGAAATATAATAAGGGATATTATAACATGTGTAAACACAAGGGAAAGGAGGAAATATAAATAACCAGATAAAAACAGAGGGAAATATCTTTATCAGATGATAATAGAGGAAACATGGATAACCAGATAGGAACAGAAGGAAATATCTTTATCAGATGATAATAGAGGAAACATGGATAACCAGATAGGAACAGAGAGAAATATCTTTATCAGATGATAATAGAGGAAACATAGATAACCAGATAGGAACAGAGAGAAATATCTTTATCAGATGATAATAGAGGAAACATAGATAACCAGATAGGAACAGAAGGAAACATCTTTATCAGATGATAATAGCGGAAACATGGATAACTAGATAGGAACGGATGGAAATATCTTTATCAGATGATAATAGAGGAAACACAGAAAACCAGATAGGAACAGAGTGAAATAACTTTATCAGATGATAATAGAGAAAACACTGATAACCAGATAGGAACAGAAGGAAATATCTTTATCAGATGATAATAGAGGAAACATGGATAACCAGATAGGAACAGAAGGAAATATCTTTATCAGATGATAATAGAGGAAACATGGATAACCAGATAGGAACAGAAGGAAATATCTTTATCAGATGATAATAGAGGAAACACAGATAACCGGATAGGAACTGATGGAAATATCTCATATCAGATAATAATGGAGGAAAAACCAAATAGGAACGGAGGAAAATATCTTTATCAGATGATAATAGAGAAAACATAGAAAACCAGATAGGAACAGAGGGAAATATCTTTATCAGATGATAATAGAGGATACATGGATAACCAGATAGGAACAGAAGGAAATATCTTTATCAGATGATAATAGAGGAAACACAGATAACCAGATAGGAACAGAGGGAAATATCTTTATCAGATGATAATAGCGGAAACATGGATAACTAGATAGGAACGGATGGAAATATCTCATATCAGATAATAATGGAGGAAAAACCAAATAAGAACGGAGGGAAATTTCTTTATCAGATGATAAGGGAGGAAATGTAGATAGGAACGGAAGGAAAAACCTCTTTAGCCTTTAAGTAGTTGTTGTGTTGTGTTTTAGCTTATAATGACCTATTAACACAATATTCAAAATTATGGTAAACTATAAGCTTCATATATTCACCGATTTTCAGTTGTCCAGGTCCATTCAGGATGTCCACGTTCTCGATGAAATAAGCAGTCAAAATGCACTGTACTGTTCGGTAAAATCACCATACGACCATCCATTGTCACGTCTAGGTCTCCAGCTGCCACGTTATACGTGATTGTAGGTGGCGCTTCGTCTGCAAATAAAATCGGAAACTCTTGTTGAGGTTATTATTATGGGTATTTTGATTTTCAACTTCAAAGGCGCCTTACGTGAACATGGGCTAAACACTCGGGTCAGGGTGCAAGTATAACTGACCCTAATTTTGAGCTGACTGAACGAAATGCAGCCAGTTAACAGCACCCACCGACATAACTGGATAGCCTGTTGCCTTTATAACATGTCCACTGCTGAAAATGCGGAATATATTTCATGACATCGTGGCTCGGACCTTGGGCCTTTTTATCCGCAGCCTGGCAGTCGAACTATCAAGCCACGTCGGGTTTCTAGGTTATTATTAAAAAAATTAATAACTTGTAATCAAACAGTTAAAAGTTGATAACAAAGTAAAGTGTAAAGATTAGATAAATACAAATTATAAAATACTGCAAGCATAATAGTGGCAAAGGTCTGTAAATAAATAACGAAAAACGAACTTATCTACAAGAAACTGATGAATGCAAGTTATAAATTTTGATTGTACAAAATTGTAATATACACTTACGTATGAAATTATAAGGTTAAAAAAACAGATATAAATCATATGTAATAATTCTGTAATGTGTATTGATTTCAGTGATTCATATGAGACAAAACAGATTTATACTGAACAACCTTCATAGAGATTACTTATTTCAATAACACCACAAGAAGCAAGTTTTAATAATGGCATGCAACCTAAATTTTGGTTAATGAACGTCGTTGATTATTAGTCGAAACTAATATTTGTGCCAAACAATCTGAAGATTGCTGAAGGTTTTAAATGAAATAGTCAGAGATATTTCCTTACCTGAAAAATTTGTATGTAACGTAGTTGGAAAACAATGTGGAAATGGTGAACTCCATTGTCCATTCGTGCACTCAACAGTCTTATTGCCAATAAATTTGTACATTCCTACTTCGCTACAGCGCATGCTCAGTTTGATTCCATGAGGCAGTCTAATCTTTTGATCCAAAGTGAGAACCTTCCCTTCGTAGCTTATAACTAACTCAGCATCTGTAGGCCGTAGAACACATTGTCTCAATAATGGCTGAAACATTTTGTTATCTGAAAATTAAATGAAAATCCCAATTAATATACATATTTTCTATAAATAGGATCATAAGTACGATTACATAATTTGTTTGTTTGTAATTAAGCACAAAGCTACACAATGGGCTATCTGTG